GAACCGCTATATGGCGCCGCAGGCAATTTTTTTCTGACGTGTCCTGTCCATGGGCTTGGAATGGTCGTCTTGCTAATGTAAAATTGTTAAAAAAAAGAGGGAGGAAATTTTTTCAGTAAGGTAGTAGAAAAATTAGTTTAAAAACGTTTTATATTTAAATAAGTAATCTATCGATAATTTCAAATTATATTATAATTTTACTTTACACAGAACCACAGATAAACGATAACAAGACACTCAATTCTGGATAAAGCGACGCCATGATACATGAAGCAACGCTATAAAATGTAGCATGTGTACTGTACATCGCGTGACCACATAACATCAGTTCTCTGATTGTTCAGTTTATTACGTAGATTCTGTAAAGTTACAGAGCAAGCGCTAAAATCACAGAATGCTTGTGTTGTCACATATTACTTTGTAAAATTACAATAATTTGTATGTGAAGTTAAACTACACTCTGTAAATATAAAGGATATATTGTACAAAAACATTTAACTCTGTATATTTCCGGAATATTGTGTAAATCCACTTTGTATTTAACGTAAATTAATAAATACAGAAGAAATTGTGTAATACTTCATGAACTTTTTTCAGTGTAGTTAAAAAACTATGTATTTATTTAAAATAAAAAAAGTTATTGAATTATTTTCGCAATCGTTTTACCGCGAACATCTAAAAAAGGCATTTAAAAAATAAAGGCCTTTATTTTTTTATTAAAATCTTATTTAACACATTAAAAAAAGAAAAAAATAATATTTATTTGTAATAAAAAAGGTATTGGTTTTTTTGATTAATGGTAACAGGTGCCTATAACTCTTTTCACCTTCAAAACTGCAATATTCATTAATGACATAAGAAAAAATGCATAATAATTAGACATGCAACAATATATAAGACATATTTTTGTAGAAAAGATGTTTTTTTATATTGGAGGTCAAAATTTAAAATAAATAAAAAGTATTGTCATTTTTTTCTGATTTTATAAGTGGCCTATTATAATAATAGGCCTATAGTATATTTGTGCATTATCTAAATTATTTCTTTACATGTAAATTTACATGTAAATTATTTTTAGACTGCAGTCTAGAAATAATTGAATCCTGTGTTATTATGATATTATTGAATATTACACAAAATTGCGATTTGTGAAAAAAAGTAAAAAATGGTTTATAAAATACAATGCTTACATTTTTTCAGCAATAAATAAAAAACTGTAAAATAAATAAAATATGAACTAATAACTGAAAATTCGTTGGGGGTCCCTTCTGGAATATTGTATTGGAATATCGTTTGTATGGGAAAAGCGAAAAGAGAAAAGAAAGTAAAAAAAGCGTAGCGCTTTCCTGACTGACAAATGTTTACGATCGTCGGACCCTCCAGTTTATGATATCCGACCAGATTTGATTGCTAATACTGGCCATTTATGGCCAGATGCATAAATCTCAGTGCCTGGACACAATTTTCCTTCCGCAGAAACAAAACTATTACAACCAAAATCGATACCATATGCAATATATTTCGAGGTACAAAAGAAACATAAATTAATCTACTGGTGTCAAATCAAGTTTTCACAAATAATAAGTTCGTTGCAATGCACTTTTTTTCTGGTTATGAACAAAGTACACGGAAAAAAAGTTATTTTATATTAAAGAGTAATTATGTCAGTCCAAGTATATGTCCATCTCACCATTCCGCAAGTATAGTTACTTTTTATTGAAGGATTGATTTATTCTTATTTGTAATTTAAATTAATACTTATTTGAAGAATATAGGGGGTTGAATGCAACAACTAACCTATACTTATTTGGATATAATTTCAATGTTATGTGCAAGGGTTCTTATTCTTATTTCAAGAAAAACTATTATATTATTTTAAATGCAAGCACCCTTAAATAAAATATACACTAGGGTGGTCCTTAATAAGGTTATTTTCAAATTTCTTTGCTCTCAGGGGCTCAAATTCTTCCAAATTAATAAAAAAAAATTCCCTGAAAATTTGAGCTCTTAATATTAAGTTAATATTATTAACTCTAAGATAGTGCGCATTCCAATCTAAGTTTCCTATGGAAATAACATAGGAAAAATTACTTTTGTTGTTTATAATTTTATAACTTGCGAACGAATAAATTTAAAATTATAAATCATACATATTTTTATAGAGAATTTAACGCTCTACAAAAAAGGTCTCGTATAATTTTTCCATTAGTCTATTTGTTTAAAAGTTATTTATTTCCACCTTCTTAGTAAATGACATTTTATAGGTTAATTTTGTTGTTTTTGCATCCAAGTAAACGATACATTATAGGAACAGACCTGTAATATTTTACGGGCTTGTATAAAAGACCTGTTAAGTTTTACAGGCTTGTAAAAATGCAATTTATGAAATGAAATGTCACATTTGACACATTAATTGAAATTTTAAATTTGAAAATTGTTATCTAAAGGTGAAAATAAAATTTTGTACGTGTCACGCTTGGCAATTAATCTTTACTAGGCTCACTGGATTATGGGGTGAGCGACGCAGGAGCCCACAAATTTCCAGCTCGCCAGTAAAGATTCATTTACAAAGCTTGACACGTTAATAATTATTATTTCCACCTTCTTAGTAAATGACATTTTATAGGTTAATTTTGTTGTTTTTGTATCCAAGTAAACGATACATTATGGGAACAGACCTGTAATATTTTACGGGCTTGTATAAAAGACCTGTAAAGTTTTACAGGCCTGTATACATATAGAAAAGCAATTTATGAAATGAAATGACACATTTGACACATTAATTGAAATTTTAAATTTGAAAATCGTTGTCTTAAGGTGAAAATAAAAGTTTGTACGTTTCACGCTTTGCAATTAATCTTTACTAGGCTCACTGAATTATGGGGTTCGCTCCTGCATCGCTCACCCCACAAACTCCCAGCTCGCCCGTAAAGATTCATTTACAAAGCTTGACACGTAAATAACTATTAACGTCAAAGTTTAATTTTCATATAATTATTAGATAATATTATCAAGGCTTTTTTATGAGGCGCCGTTTGTGTCAAAATTAAAAGTGCTTAATAAACTTATTTTGTTTTATAAATAATTGATTATATGCTTTACCAAATAATTTATTTATAAAATTATTTTTTTATTTTTTTTTTGTAAAAAATTTTTTAAAATAATTTTTTTATAAAATAATTTTTTTTTTTTAATAATTTTTTTATAAAATAATTCTTTTTTATAAAATTATTTTTTTATAAAATAATTTTCAATTCGAATCAAAAATTATTTAATAAAAGACGACGGGCGCATTTATAAATTAATTTTTACTGCAGCCATATCTATTTGTAAACCCGAACGCCCCTCCCCAGATACAATTTTATGACGGACTGGAATTTTGTTTGACGCAATTTGGGGAAACGATTGAAAATAATAATTTATTATTTTTATTCATTAATTTATTAATTTTTTTATCTACATTTATTTTGATTTTTAGTTTTTAACAATAATTCTTTATGTTTAAACGTTTTTTATAAAAAAGCACTTGTTAAAAACTAAAATAAATAAATAAAATAATTCTCTTGAAAACAAATTAAAATAAATAAATCAATTCTCTTAAAACAAAACTATAAATCAAAAAAAATAATTTTATAAAAAAGAATTATTTTATAAAAAAATAATTTAAAAAAAAAAAATTATTTTAAAAAAAAATTATTTTATAAAAAAATAATTTTATAAAAAATTTTTTAGAAAAAAAAAAATATATTTTATAAAAAAAAAAAATTTATAAAAAAATTATTTGGTAAATCATATAATTAATTATTTATAAAACAAAATAAGTTTATTTAGCACTTTTAATTTTGACACAAACGGCGCCTCATAAAAAAGCCTTGATAATATTAATAATAATATGAAAATTAAACTTTGGCGTTGAATAAATTTTATACCAATAGACTAATGGAAAAATTATAAGAAACCTTTTTTGTAGAGCGTTAAATTCTCTATAAAAATATGTATGATTTATAATTTTTAATTCATTCGTTCCCAAGTTATAAAATTATAAACAACAAAAGTAATTTTTCCTATGTTATTTCCATAGGAAACTTTGAATGGAATGCGCACTAGCTTAGAGTTAATATTAAGAGCTCAAATTTTCAGGGAATTTTTTTTTATCAATTTGGAAGTATTTGAACCCCTGGGAGCAAAGAAATTTGAAAATAACTTTATTAAGTACCACCCTAATATACACTATGCTTAATTTAAGAATAAGTATTTTTTGATACAAATGTTATAATTCTTGGCGATACAATATTTTCGAGTTCGATATTAAGTTTAAAAAATATATTTAGGTAAGCATTTGAATCTGCGCATATAAAAAAATGGTTTTTTGTCTACATCGCAAAAACAAGAGCTGATTGAGTAAAATGATGGTCATTTTTGGATTCGGCGTACTCAAATTACCCTAAAAAAAGTTGCCTAACCTGCACCAAAATGGCTGTCGTTAAGCATAATCATAAAAATAGGATTTTAGACACTTATAACTTTTGAACTGTAGGTGATAAAAAAATTGTTCAGAACGAATTTGTAGAACAATAAAAAATCTTCAAAATTGCTAATTGACTTTTTTTTCTACGATTAGTAGTTTAGCCGCTAAATGTAAAAATATCAAATTTGTTTAGAATTTATACGTTTCAACGTTAATAAAAAAGAAACTGTTGAATCTACAGACTGGACTCAGTAATATTTTTTGTAGATAATTTAATGCTAAAAAAGGACCAGTGATTGCTTATCAAAAAAGAAAGTTGTACATAGTATGCAGGCGAAATAAATCTTAAAAAACTATTTTTTCTTGTTAAATCAATGGGAAAATTTTAAATTAGAATCGGGCTGATTCTATAAGAAAGTGACTAGCGTTTTATCACCCAGCTGAGTGGTTATAAGGAAGGTGAGTGGTTAACTTAATCACCAAAACAAAATTGGCATTTTGTAATGAGTAAGTGGTTATATATTTAACAACTCTAGCCTAAAAAGAGTTGTTATATTTATCACCAGGTTATGGTTGGTGTTTATTACTTTAGTGACAGTTATTAGTAAAATTTGTATGACGAAATGGCGATACATTTGCTACCAGTTCACTTCTTAAACATTTTTTGAAAAAGTTTTGAGAAGGTATGTAGCAAAAAATTGATGATTACCTAAAAAATGTTAATTTTAGGTACCGCTTGCAACTGGATTTATAAAAAATGTATAGATTCCTACTTTCATTAATTTGAAGCACCCTAGAAAAATTTGAATTTTCGTTTTCTTTCGGTTTTTCTTGAATTTCTTGTTCCTCTGGAATGTCTTGGTAGCCTTGCGCTGACACCCATCCCAGTAAACCCATTAATTTTTCTTCCAGTTCAGTTAAAGGCTTTGCAGAATTGGGTCCACCACCCGTGGCCTGCGCCTCTACTTTGAAATCCCTTGCCTTTTTACGCGTTCGAGACTTCCACTCTACAAAGTACCTTCGCCAGTCTTCGGCACACTTTTTTGGCCCCGATAATAAATTTAAAGACTTTCCTATGGATTCCCATAATTTAAGCAATTCTCCCACCTTGAGAGGATGGGGCTTGATGGTGAGGATGGTTTTATTTTGCGGTATTACCGGGAGAGTTGCTTAAATTATGGGAATCCATAGGAAAGTCTTTAAATTAAATGATAACAAATCAACCAGTTGGGACATTTGATCCGCACTGACTTTTGTTCCTCTATGTCTTACTTTCTTTTCTAACGTCATCATGCTATAAAAATATAAATAATAAAAAATATAAAAGATGAAGAACCCTCAATGTCAAAACCACCCAGTTTACCTTTTTAAGTCCTGTATGGTACTCGACACACGCAATTACGTTCGCCTCAGAAATACAACTGACATAAGTTTGAAGTTTAAACAGTGTCCAAATGGTATTTAAACTGCGCACCACTCAATGTGTCGCGACCAAAAAGTTTGTTCTTTTTTAAAACCACATAACTTTTTTGTTTTTTGAACGATTTTATTTTGGTCTGTGATGTCTGCTAGCCTCATCCTCTGGTAATTCATGCTATAGATATGAAGCTCACGGTTCGTCGAGAAAATTTCCTACAGGGTGATATGTTAAACGGTGAAAAATTTCAATAACTTCATCCAAGCCCCGTTTGTAAAAAAATAATTTTTTTCTCGTTTTTATTTTGAAATAATGAAGTACCTATTACGTATTGCCTTGAAAAATTTTTCAGATTTTTTGAATTGGAATCTTAGCAACGACGATATGATTTTTTTTTTGATTTTATTAAGACATTTAACAGCCGGGAATTGTTTTTGAATTTTGATTCTTGGTGATTTTGGTTTAATCTGAAACTTAAATTTGACAACTGAATCACAATCAGGAGGTCAAAATTATAAAGAAAACAGGCCACGAACGTAAAGATCGGTTCAGGTTTAGTTTTCTTAAATTTTTACCAAAATGTCGTTTTGAAAAAGTGGTCTTTAGGCCCCTTTGAAAATAATGAAAGTTTGTTGCTTGTCGCTTGTTCAGAATTATTCAAGGAACAATCTTTCACCATCTTATTTTCTTGTTCTTAAAAAGACTGTGTATTGCCTACCAAAAAGCCTTAAATGTATTCTTTTGTAAAAAAAAATTCGATTTTCGTTGCCAAGATTCCAATTCGAAAAATTTGGTAAGATTTTCAAGGTAAGACATAATACTTCATTATTTCAAATTAAAAACGAGAACAAATATTTCTTTTTTCAAACGGGGCTTGGATGAAGTTATAGAAATTTTTCAACGTTTTACATATCACCCTGTAGGAAATTTACTTGAAGAACCGTGGGCTTAATATCTATAGCATGAATTGCCAGAGGATGGAGTTAGCAGTCATCACAGACCAAAATAAAATCGTTCAAGAAACAAAAAAGATATGCCGTTTTGAAAAAGGACGAACTTTTTGGTCGCGACACATTGAGTGGTGCGCAGTTTATTTGAAATAACAGATCTACATTTGAACTACTTTTAATAACGCGTGATTACGAAAATTAAACCAGTGACGGTTGTTAAGATTTTACTTATGGAATAGGAAAATATCGAAAAGTCATTATGCGGGTCATAAACTGTTAACTTCTTATAACGTTATTATCATAAACACTTCTGTAGTAACTTTTTTATAGAATCGGGCCGAATATATACTGCAATGATTTTTTTAAACCTTCAGACACGTTGATTTTGTTTGCGAGTCGGACATTTTTTGGCTATATACATAATTGTTTTTTATGTGATTTTTCGGCCGACCTAATATCACTTCAACATATAAAATTCTATACATAATACTACACACATAAATATAATTATGTAATACATATTACCTACACATAAATTTGGTGGTTAATTCTATCAAATTTCACTAATTTAGCAGCTCATTAATAATTCCAAACTCAATAATAACACAAGAAACAATCTTTCAAAATGTCGGGCTGACGCTGTGTAAAACGCCTAGACAAACATGGTTAAACGGACACTTTCGTGAGTGCACTCCCCATGGGGGATATTTTTAAGAATCGTAGTCGTACCAATTTTTACTTATCTTAGAATAAATATAATTATATTTAAATCCAGTATATATACATACTGGACTATAATCTTTAAAAACAGACTAGAGGGAATTTTCGAAAATTTTTGTCTAATCGATTGTTAATTTTAAATTAAGAATAAGATTATTTCATTTAAAGTCTTTCTTAACATATAACAGGCAATAATAAGATCTGCTTGTTTAAAGAAAGATTAATATTTAGTTTAATGTTAGTTTTACCCTTGACAAAATTAGGTCAATCATCTTGTTTTACCTGTACCTACTTGATTTTAAGCTAAGAAATAAAATCTTTTTAATTTAAGGATAGGTTAATATTTAAAAGAAATTTAATGTATTCGTAGCCTAAGCAAATTATACTTAAATCAAGTGAATTTTGTTTGAAATGGTAAAAAATTGCAAATGTAGGTCGTTTTACTAAATTTTTACTAAAAAAGGCAAAATTAAAAAATATATACAAGTGGGGAGTAAGAGAAAACGTCTTGCAGGTATTTACAATCTTTTTTAATAAAAACTATACGAAAAAACTTCAAAAATACAAAAATAGTTAGAGAGTTAAGACTCTTAAGCGGAGGCTTGATTCTATTCACTTTTGATTAAGTCCAAATTATAGTTTATAAAATATCACTTCTGATACTATTAACTTAAGAGTATCAGAAGAAATATTTTATAAACTATAATTTGAACTTAATCAAAAGTGAATAGAAACAAGCCTCCGCTTTACCTTTGCTACGTTCGACAGAGCAGTATTTTGTGCTACGTACGTACACTCCGATGTTTCTTCTCGATAACATTATTATTTAAATTAAGCCCTTAGGCGGTACACGACGTGAGCCAATCTTTACTCTATAAGCGAACCGAACGAGAAGATTATTTAAAGCAAATAAATTTAAGGTAATAACCGCGATAAATCACGCGTGTGTGCGTTTGGTAAGTAAATAAAACGTAGCAAGAGCAATCGTCAGCTTTCGAGAATTTAAAATTGACTTGATCTTCTTGATGAGCCACACGCAAACGCATCTGGTATAGATTAGAAAATAATTTTAACGTTAAAATTAATGGAAAACTCAATTGCAAGAGTAATGCATGTTTTAGCCTATTTTTATACAGGATGTTTAAGATTTACTGTTGCAAATAGAAATATTGAAAATTTCCAAAGAATTATTGGAAACAGAAAATAATCAAAAATACTAATCAGAGATCCGAAATAAAGGTTTATGGATTTCTGACTAATTTAATTAATATAATATTATTATATTATATCTTATATTATATTAATTAATATAATATAATATAATAATATTATATTAATTAAATTAGTCACAAATCCAGCCATGGCTGGTGTCCGTAGTTCCAGGTTTTCTCCCCGGTTGAGATGATTTTTTTGACGTTTAATTTTATTATTATGATAGATTTTTAAATTAAAAAACTCATAAGTAATTCTAAATATTTTTAAAATAATTAGCGTTTTAAGCTTCTCTTTTATTAATATTTTATTACGATATACTCCTAAATTAAAAATTTTAGATTTTATGTTTTACTCATATGGTAAATGTCTTCGTATATTGTTAAATCTGCTAAAGGGTCTTCAAAAAACTTATCGATACACTTTTAGAGGTGATAGAGGACATCAAAACAAACATGTTTTGCTTAATAACACAAATTAGCCGTTGAGGCTCTAGATCAATTATGGAGCAAACATGCAAAAGCTGATAAATCCATTTTAACTTATTCTGAGGTATTGGCCAAAAATGTATACAACCGAGTCCCCCAAATATTTATAAACTATTAAAATGGAATGTTGCTCCTGTTGGGTTGTCTCTGTTTCGGTTTTTCCTTAAAATGCTGTGACAAATCAAAAGAGTTTACCAAAATTAGTAAGAATAGGTACTATACTCTTAAGATGTCGGTTTTTGTATGTTTGCTCTACAATTAAACATTTAAAATCATATTCAAATACTTGCGTATGCAGAAACGTTGATTTTTTTATACCAACTGATTTAGAATATCAGTAGATATAGGTTTTTGCACGACATTTCAACGTAGTAATTTTCTTTAAAAACTGTTGTTTTATAAAATAAATTGGGTAGGGGAGACCGGGGCGGAATGGGAACTCTAACGTTTAAAAATTATTTTTAGTAGGGTAGAGACGTGGTACAAATTGAAAAAAAGCAGAACGATTTATTAAAGTATTATAAACAAAATACAAAAAAATTAACATAAATGCATCCATTTTTTTTAATATCGTATTAAAATAAAGTGTCCTTTACTCCATTTCGCCTTGCCTACGGGGCAGAATGGGGATATCGGTCTTACACAATTCACAGACATCGTCGTCATCACTCTCTATCCCCGCACACGAATTGTAAGCTCACTTTTGGCACTGTGTGCATAAACAGAGATATCCTATCCAGCAACCTCATAATACAACAAGTTGGTACCATAATAATAATTAATAATTATAATTATTTAATTTTGTTGGTATGTTCATTCCTGATAGCAATAACTAAAATATTTTTGTTTAGGAAAATTGGAAGCTGACTGTAGTAATTAATTATAATAAGAAAGTTCTTGCTCGATGCATTCATTGCATTTAATTTTGAATATTTCATCATTTTTTATAAATAGTTTACCAGAAAATAATTTTTTAATTAAACACACCCTGAACTATTGCCTAAGAAATTGCCCACCGAGATCTTATAAACACTGTGCGACAATTTTCAGGACATCGAAATCAAACCGCACCGGACCATTTTTTTCTGAAAATACACCTATCCAATAGCAAAACCCTCGCTGGGTTTGTAAAAGTTAGATCACATTTTTTTATATGGCCGTTTGTATTTTCGAGCTTCATATACCCCAATGTAGACTTATAATTTTTTTTTGCATATATTCGATTTATATCGTCAAAATTTTTTGTAGAAATGTAGTTACTGCACAAATTAACCCATTTTGTGAACAACCTATATCCCAAAACCCAATTTTTGGGACCAAATATTTTTTTCAATTATTCGATAATATTTATAATTTCTTGCTACTTCTTCTTGCAAAATTGTACTAGAAGTAATTTATAAAAATGTACTAGAAGTAATTTATAAAATACGCACAATAAACTAAACTTTAAGATTGCTTATTTGCTGAAAAACAATGTTTGAACAAGATTTTCCAAAATATTCATCTTTTCACACTCAACACCAAATTTTCTGACAAAATCTTTGGAAAATCTGTAGGAAAAAATTGAATAGATAAAATAGAATTGTAAAAAAGTACAGAGTTTAATTTTTCATTTTGTATTAATTTTATTATTAAAAAACTGTTTCATATCAAAACATTGATCTGATTCATTGCTGGATAATTCCATCCCTTCCACTTCTTCTCCTTTAATTTATTGTTCTTAATTTTAATTTTCTTCCTGATCGTAGTTAAAAATATGTTTACTCCACCAAAATGTTTCGGTTAGTATACCAATGCCATTTAAAACGCCTAAAATGAAATTAATATAAAATATTTATTAAAAATATATAATATCGTTGCAATATATTTTATTGTGGGTTTTGACAATGTTGATTTTGACGAAACGAAAAGACAAAGCCGATGAGAAATGATGATTATGGTCATGGTTATGGGGAAAATATACCCGAAGATTTATTACAATGTGTATTTTTGTTTTTTAGTCAAATAAACATTTCCAATGTTTCCTAAAAAAGGCATAAAAGTTCCACAAAAACTCAATATTAACGTATTTATCCATTCAAAAAGTAAATAAATAAACCCAGCCAGGGTTATACTTGAAAAATAATGAAAAATGCAATTATACAAGTATCAAATATGCCTTTATAGCAATAAGAGTAGTAATATAGAGCTATATCACTCTAAAGCCGGTGAAGTACTGCTGCTATTTTGACCTGTAACATATTTCAGCCAGCTAGTCGTTTTATTTCGAATGCTTTTCAGCCGTGAACGCACCGCGAACGTTTTAAAACTTCCTTTATAATTGGACCTAGGCCAGAAAAGTACAAAACCAGCGCAGTCTGGCAAAAAATGATGAAATATTGTAAACAATGACTTTTTAATATTTTTTTTTTGGTCAATGAAATAGTTAATTAAAATTGATAAATATAGTTTGAGTTAATATAATTTTTAATTAATAATTATTGTATTATTCGTTTCGATCATAAATAAAGATATTCAAGCAATTTAAAAGGATTTAAAGGAAGACGCGTTTTTTCTACATTTTGGGTTTCTTAAAAACCTTTCGGATTTTAGTTCAGCGGATCAAAAATTTTATCACTTGTAGAATAATATAAAAATTAAACTTTTAATAGAAAATCCTATATTTCATTATCATATTTTTTGTGACTACAAGCCGAGAGGGTGGGTTCGAATACCACCACCAGTTTATTTGTGTTTGTCTGTGTATTACTGTAATTTTAATAAAAATTAAATAAAATAATTATGTTCTTGATTATAGAAGTTTCCCCACACTGTTAAAAATCAAGCCTTTTAAATACCTATTTAGAATTAGTGAAGGAAAAATAAGGTAATATGCTTAAGGCCGGTTTATCAATCTCTAGTTAAGTTCCAGTAAGTCTATCTGACAGTTAAATTGCATATCGATCGTTGTTAGAACAATGGTATCCATGGAAATTATCTTCCAGATAACTAACTGCAACTTTAACTGATTATTGATAAACCGGCCCTTACACAAGTAATTCACCTTCTCGTTTATAAGGCAAATCCACTGCTTCAGTTCCATGGTATGTATATTCACTAACTTCTATATGAATATTTAATATATTTAATATAAATATATTATACTTTAAAAACTTGTTAAATTTAAAAAGGTAAATTTGCCTTAATATTAATTCAAAATCTCAGTTAATTTTAGGTACGGAATTGTTGCTTTTGATTTAGGTAATTTTCTTAAATTATTATTGCAAATTCTTCAACTCATTTAGGTAAATTCCTTTAAATATTAGTGACTTTTTTGTCATCGGCTAGGATCGCTGATAATCGACATTTTAAGATAAATATTCGCACCTATATTGCCCACATCATGCCGCAAACAATGAATGAGAAAGGATCGCTTTTATTTTTTGTTTTAGTGGCAGAATACTATAGTGAGCAGTGTTTACTATATGAGTGTTTTGTTACACTAACATTTTGTTGTGCTATAATCCAAACCAAATGGACCAGTAGTACCGGAACAATTTTATTTGAAATTCAAATCAGTTTAACTAGTGTACGTGTATTTTTTATCCTACAGGATAGGGTATACCCATCAGCACTTCAAAGGGAAATTTATCATGTTATTTATTTCTCGTTTACATTTCTTGATAAAGAAATAGACATTGTACTAGTTTATCGGTTATTTTTACAAAAATATTCAACAATATTATAAAATGATTATCTCATTTTCAATATTCTATTAACTGCCTTCCGTAGAGGGAACTATTTTCAAGCATGTCTAAAAATTATGTAAAAGAACCCTTTTGATGAAAAATCTCCTAAAGAGACACTTTGTAGAGGATTGTATAAATTTTATTTATTATTATATAAAATATTTTTATAAAAATTGTAATGGTCAACTAAATAGTATATTTTCATATACGATATTATATAAAAAATGAGATAAATTTACCGTAGTTACGGCGCTGCTTTATGCTGGCTGCATCGAACAAAAGCAAGAATATTATATTCTCCTAATTATAAATATGATTTAAAAAAATGTTTTTTGTTTGTGGGGTCTTTGTCCAGAAGTAGGTACTGTCAATCAAATATTATGAAAGGTATT